ATTGCAGTACTGGGTTAACGCGGCAGGGAAAAGTAGATATTTAATAACGTGGAGTGGCTATATCCAGTATGAAACCTAATTATTTGAACATTCTGGTAAAACAGGAGAAGCTAGTTCCTAATATTGAGACAAATTAAATGACCTACTTGCAAAGTGTCCTGCTAACTCATAGTTCATTGAACATTGCCTTGACCTGCATTCAGAAGACAGACTGCTGTAAAGACTAATCATCCACAGCCCACGCACCAACATTATTGCTGTACATACATATTTCCATAACACCGCCACTACAAACATTCCTCAATATGGCCGACGAAGTGATGTAATTACTTTATGCTCCAGTCATGATTTCACTTTACTTCCCCACATGAGTCCCAGGTTGTGCTCGGTCGGTTTTTAGTTTGACTTGCATGAAACAATTAGTCTCCCAATTACAAAAAAGTGGTCCCCTAGAATGTAACCAACTAAAGCAACCACCCAGTCAAACACCATCACTTGGTTTTCCATTTATTAAGGTTCAAGAAAAGAGCAGTGCTCTCACACAATATTGGCTTGTATTGGTTTGGTCACAACTATTTGTTTGATTTTTGTTACCATTATTATAAATGAGGGCTAATATTAGCTAGCACCCGACACTGCTCTGAGGTAGTTTTTTTTTTTTTCAAGTTGGTAAATAAAAAGCCAAGTCATTCTGAAGACTAGAAATGCTTTGAAAATACAAAAATACCCACGAGTCTTGCATTGGATACATGTAAGTCAGCTGGATGGCATTGGTTTGGTGAAGCTCAGTAACAGTTCTACTCTACAGACACACGGTCCAACGGTCGCAGCTCCCGCACATTTGAGCTAGCTTACACCTGCTAGAGATCAATCATCCTTACTCCAACCCATTTAGTTTGTTGTCTATGAGGCTATAAAGTCACTTGTTAATGTCCATACATGCCTACACACACACTGACGATTATCATGACTTGATGCCTGACAGTTACAACATAAGCATGTCACGCTGTGGACAGTAATCAAATCATGTTGGTAGCTCTTTGAGGCTGAACTTTAGCATTGCAGTTTGTAGGGCTGAATACTAACATCATGTTAATGTTTTAGCAGGTATAATGTTTGTAAACCACACAAAGCTGGAAATAAAACCACCAAAATGTGAAGTAGCTGCGATCGGTGGACATGTGGCTTCTTCTCTCAGGTCTACCAGTAGCTCGTTTGAAATGTGTGCTCAATAATGTAGACGTGTAGATAAAAACAATGATATAGGTCAAGTTTAACTGCGAAGACCTTGTGGACACCACCCGAGCGTCACATGGCTGCAGGTAATGGTGTGGACATTGGCATGATAATGACTGTCAAGGAACAAGAGGAAAAGTAGGCTGAAGCCAGCCAATGCCATGTATGTGATCAAATGTACTTTTTAAAATCTATAAAAAACGGCTGTGTCATACAATTAGCAAAAGTAAGGAACACAAGCAACACTCAACAAGTGGCCCTGCGCTGATGAGTTAGTGAGCTGATCTTGGGAGGAATTTGAAAGGGATATCAGACCGAGGGGATAAAGCAGAAGCTGAAAACTAACAGCAAACAAGATCACACATCAAAGCAACCATCATATATACATAACTGTTATGTTACAGCAACTCACGAGTGTGATGCCGGAAATAGAGAGAAACATTGTCTGCTAAAACTACAGTAGCAAACATCGCAACTGTAGACCTGTATACCTCCTCAGTGACAAGATGAACGATACCAGCTGTGATGTGGGCGATATCTTAATAAATGAAATATTAAAAGAAAGAAAGTAATACTTTCTGCTATTATTATATCCTATAAATAAGAGAGAAACACCCAAAAGGAAAAGGCTGTACACAAGAGGCAAACATGAGTATAAATGTACTGGATGGACAGCCTGTATGATATTACAGATCACACTAAGTACATTCATTGTTAATATTTGGAGCTAAGAAAATAGGTTCTACTCTACAAGAGGTGTCTTTATGTCAGGAATCATTTCTCTACAAGAGACGGATGAGAGGCAGAGAGACGTTACTATACATTAGGGATGGGAATTTGAAAGCAAATGTATATTCGAATATTCGACCCCCCAAAAAACGGTTAACCGGTTAACCGAAATGTACATATTCTATAAAAAAAAAATGTTCAGAATTTTTTTTTTACCCAGTTTTTTTTCAATAATTTTTGGAAATAAATAAATACATGTTCAAATAAGTGTAGAAACCAAGTCGAATTTGTCAAATGTATTGAACTGGTGACCACAGTTTGACAGCTATAGGCCTACAGCTTTCATGTGCAGAAGCGATTCACAATCAGGCCAGCTGTAGAGAAGACCCTCAGCTGGAACGGAGGTTGCGGGTATAGCAAGGTATAGCATGTATATATAAGTTTCATTTGGCATAGTTTGACCTCTACACCGCACTCACTAACCTGGTCGAAATATTTCCACACATTACTCCTTTTTGACGCCATGTCTGTTGTGTAGGACTCTTCTTAGATAATAATTACCGGACTATGATGACTGGTAAAATATGTTGAATACCGGAAAAACTAAATCTCTCCAGTCAAAATGTCTATACTTTGCCGCCACACACGGTTGCCAAGCAGCGCTTATTGTTGTTTAGGCTGGCCACTCATGTGTCGCGAGTGTTGACAGGGGGCGGGGGAGCACGCTCATGAACCTCGCAACGGCTGCGGAGCGCATTTGCGCCACATTTGGGCCTAAGATGAGGTTTGAGTCTGCGTGATCTGCGTGTAGGGAGGGGCAGCAGCCATATCATTGGCTAGAACTAGCTAGATCTGATGGATTTGGACATAAACACGAGTGAAGTATAACCGGACGTGAGAGAGAGATCAGCACCTGCAGCTCTGCCCGCTGTGAGGGACTGGTGAGCGGAGCAAAACACACCTTTAGACGTCAACTAACACATTTGGCTATGGCACTGTCGTATACATTGAATTATTCAATTTGATAATATGTAATCAACTTAGGCATCACTCCCAAAAACAAAACAAAAATATATTCATAACTCATATTCGAATACATGAATAATTATTCGAATACCTGAATAATTTTGAATATTCGTTCCCATCCCTACTATACATAGGGTCGTAGTTTGGAATAAACAGATTTATAGGTTGTCGAGCATTATTTTATTCCGAGACCATTCGAAAGCAAAAAGGTAAACTTCACCTCAGCCGTTCGGCCCTATAGTTGAACATACTTACAAATAAAAAAAGATTAAAATTAACTGATGATATGCAACTTATTTTACAAACCAGCCACTTCTACAACCTGCTTTGTCCAGGACACAAAGACAGTGTAACTGAGGTGAAGTGATGTCATTAGGGTTGCCAGCCGGGCATTAACCTCGGCACCTTTAAACATAAAGCAGTGCCACATTCATCCAGGCTGTTGTGTTCAAAACATATTATTGACTTAGCTCATCATGATCAAGCAGATGTATGTAAAACGCCTCTTCAGAATCTTGATATGTATAGTTTATGTTGGGGTCTGACACATAAAGAGGCCTTTATTTGTTCTATTCATAGTGAACGTGTCAAACTACTCTTCATCCTCGCAGCACTTTGGGATCCAAGCCTCGGTCCGTAGCTAGTCGGCTCTTTTCAGAACCTGTCAGTTATGTTGTTTTGCATAAAGCACCTTTCTTCCCCGTCACTCTACAAAGGCAAACCACCTACAAGCTTCACTCGGCTTTTTTTTAACATTTAAAAAGGCTTTAGGATATTTCTCCAAGACGACATGTTGAATGTTGGTTAGCTAGGTAGAATCCATCTTGATGAGCAGGCTTGGCTTTCTAAAGAGCGCACACTGAGGCTTTGAAGCCTGTTGGATACGCCTCTTGTATTTTAGAAAAAGCCTATGCCAACTGCTCTTTTGTAAATAAAAAACAGCTGCCAGTCTGCCACTCTTTAATTATGCAACAGCTACAAAAGTCCATTCTTGTTTAGTACAAAAACAACATTGTCAAATGTTCGGAAAAAGCAATGCCGTTCTGATCTGTCATTTTAAGGTGCTGGTGTCGGTCATGTCAAACAGGAAAGAAGCAGTAACAACGAGTACAAAGCCGTCTCCTATAAAGACTACTTGATGTTCTGAGTTTCAGCACTCTATCATTTGGGACACTTTCCAACGTTCTCCACAATGACATTTCCATTCTCAGAGCCAACACCAAGGCTTTCTTCTGTCTCCATAAATCAGAACGCAAGATTACAAGAAATGTTCAATTCATGTTGGCATTGGATTTTTAACTGATGAAAGCTTTCCTGAATACCATAGCTTACGATCCTATTTTCACACGGATGTAAGCGTGTGGTTTCCTCGATTGGTTTTTAGTCTGCAAGCAACTCTAACAGCACCGCTCGGGCGCATTTACAACTTCTCCAACTCAAGAATACGCAGTGATCAAAGCTGATGAGGGCTTTGCATTTGTCGGAAATTAAGGTGTGAAAAAAAAAAAAAGTCTCATTTACCAGGTGCATAGAATAAAAAAGGAAAAATAAAAAAGGGAAAGCTGTGTGTGAATACAAACACACTTCAAGAATTTGGTCGTACAGCTCAACGCCCGTAAAAAGGAACACATTCTCTATTATCAGTTTGAGTAAAATATGAAATAAAATGTCACCCTACTACATAGACTGATAAAGCGCCATGCACACCAAGCGTTTAAAACCTCTACTGTCAATGCAAGACTCAAACAATGCCAATTAGATAGATAGCAGGGGTAATTATACAGAAATGGCCAGCAGTGTGATGTTACCATAACACTAAAACAGGTAACAAGAGGTAGAACACACGGCCATTTCCATACAATTACACCAGTGTCACGCAATATGGCCGAGCCTCCTGCTTCCATTGAGGAACATACATCTATAGAAGTCATACCGACGTTCTGCTATCAAAAGTGCATCCAAATGTACATGTTGTGAGACCAGCACCGATAAGAACAATATTGACATCATAACAGTAAGTACATGATTTTCAGAATGCCCCACAAACACAGTCAGTCGGATTTCGAGTTGTTTTACAGGTTATGAGTAAAAAGGGTAAAACGGAGACGTCGTCAAAGGGAGAGAAAAGATCCTCAACAGGATGAAGTATCTTTTTTTTTGTTGATAAAAAGTCTTGTTGACCAGTCCAGTGAGGATTTAAGGTGTCTTACAGTGAAAACTTCTAGCACCTGAATCCAAGGTGTCCTTTTTGTGCTTCCATGTGTTTTGAATATCAAATCATGTAAAAGTTTGTAATCTTGTTTGGCTAAGAAAGATTTTGTGTTACAAAGGATACAACAAGTTTTTAGGCTATAAAATCTACAAATGACCACAAATGCTTCATTCCGTTAGAAAGGCATGAAGACGCTGATAAGCACTAAGAAACGCTACTAAATGCAACATGCTAAAAAACGACAACAAAAAAACCCTGATTATCTACCCTATAAAAGGACCCACATGTACGTGAGACGGCCCACTGCTAAATGTCTTGATTAAAAATGATGCATAGTTAGAAAATATAGACTACTCGCGTCCAATCAACACTATGCGAACCTCTGCGAGCTTAACTTAGTAGTAAAACTTAGATGGGATGTTAGGAAATGTATAGAATTATTAGTAAGACCGTAACAGTCTTAGAAGGCAAGAGAACATTTATTATCTTTATACAAATAGACAGTGTTAATTTAGACTACATGTGGGCAATTAAAAAAAAATCTCTATATTTTCAGCATCCTCAACTGAAAGCTTATTCAAAATATACCTTATTACCAACATTACTATATCATATAAAGACTCACAAAAAGTCATTTGCATAAAACCCAAGCTTTTGTGCGACAACTGCTCGCTCTTAGTTCATGGAGCAAACGATATTTTTTAGGGGAATTTCAATCAGTTTTACTCTTACATGTTGCAGCTTTCACACCAATGTACCGAATGCCTGGATATCGAGACGCCACACAAATATCCCGCCCTGACAAAGAAACTGCAGAAAACACCATCCTGCTGCTATATACAATAAAACATACAAGTAGGGTTAATGTGTAAAAAAGGAAAGAAACAAATACATTTATCACAAATGCCTAAAAACACGAGTCAGCTACATGCATAATTATACAAAACTGATTGAAATTAAGTTAGACTTTAAAAACAGACAAAAAAGGATTTTATCAAGTTCCTCTCTACGTTCATTTCTAAATCATGTGTTTTTTACAAACACGGCTCAGGCTACATCAGAAAGGTATCCTTTTTGGGAACCGGTCCCAAAACAGTCGGCATGGGAACACTAGTGTTACTTATGACGTCAGTTTAGCCTAAGAAGAGAGGCAGATATAATTGCTGTATCTAAACGCTGAACCCCTTAGAATAAACTGAAAAGTGTTGGTCCAAGGGTTGTAGTAAATTAATTGTCACCAGATTTGGCATTAACTGGTCATCTGTGTCCATCAAAGAAAAATACTGAAACCCCCGCAGATGTGGGCGTCATATTTCAAGGTTCCCACAGAAATGACAACAGAAAGGTGGTCTCGAATGGCACTTCTCATCACATAGTGCCCTTTGTGAGAAATCACACTTAACCCCCAATATATTAAGTACTTTTGTCCTGATTGAAGAACCCAGTCTGGTCAGTGCACTTTGCTTTGATTGGCTGATAAATAATGGTTCTTAAAAAGGGGCAACTCTTTAGGCATATCATATTTACCAGCCCCTCCCCCCCCTCCCATTTATCTTTTGATGAATTTGATCCTTCTCCCTTCAAGCACCAAAACCCTAACAAACTATAGAAGCAGGAGAAAGAGGGTAAACGGCTTCTTCCAAATGATAAATAACCTAATGTCTAAAAAGTGTAGTTTTTTTCTATCAGTGTACAAACTTGTCCTTTTGCTTCCATACTTATTTTCACAAATAATAGACACACACTTATGAACAACATGAAAATAAAACCTCTTTCAACACAAACCCCAAGAAAGAGGGATGCTTTAGCATCTTACAGTCTAATCGCTGGCTTAATTTGGGTGGGTCCGGGGCTGAAGTACAATTGTAGACGTGTGGGTCACTGACAGGTCAGTATGGTAGGGATCACTATGTGAAGCCACTGTATCTACAGCTGACAGTGAGACAGCGAGGGCTAGTGTGTTCCATCAGTGGGGTCTCACCCACGCCAACCTGGGGCTGTCTGCTCTCAGGCAAAGTACATGGTGCGCAGGGTGTCCTGGTGGATCTGCACGGCCTTAGCCAAGGCCTGTTGGTCCCGCCCGTTACTCTGGCCCGATGTATGACTGCCCTCCGCACTGGAACAGGAACAAAAAACAAACAGTTTATTTCAGGGTTTTCATTCACTTTTGATCTGGGAGAGATTCAAGAGAAATGGGGATGTCAACGGTTACCATGTTAATCACCGAGAATATTTGTGATCTGTCAGTCAACATTTTAATTTAAGATACATAGGTTACTGCCACTAAAAGATACTTTGCATTTTGTATTACATGTCATTTTTGCACCTTTTTCTTGAATAATTAGCTACCTAATAATGTTTTGTGCTATCAAAAGCTAAATTGTCCAAAACTGACATAAGTTATCAGGATAAATAGACAGAAAGTGCTGCCCTCACCTGTCGTGCTCTTTGTCCACCAAGTGATAGCGAGCTCTGAAAGCCACCAGGTGGGCGTAGTAAGCTGGTGCTGGGATGGAGACTGAGCGGGTGCAGCGCACATAGGTGTGGCAAAGCTGATAGGTCAGGACCTGCAGTTCATCTGCAGAGAAGTGGTTGTCGTCCCAGAGCACGTGGTAATGAGACGGCCTGCTGGTACCCTGCAAACAGCGATCAGACGACAGGCGTTCATGCATAATCAATTGAAATTGCCCCTCACCTTTCTATAGAATACTTCACAGGCACAGTGACATCTTTGTTCAGTTACAGCTCTTACCTGAATGCCAGCGTGACTGCAAAGGTAGAAGTCAAACTCTGATGGGTGAGTGATTTTGGTGTCCACTGTGGTGCCTGCAGGAATGTTGCCACTCTTCCCAACCTGCAAAAATCCACACAGATATGCTTTAGTGAGGGAGGAGGGTTTCCCTACACGTTTGGAAAATACACTTCATTTTGTAGGAAATAAAAGACACTGCATAAAATTCTGATCCATGCACACTTAAAAAAAAATGAAACATCCATATTCAAATATGGACATGGTATTTCCAAGTAGGACTTTAACTGCTAATGCCGTGCCACTAAATGACTAAGGATTACCCACTGTCCCCAATATAGGAGCATCGCGTGAGAGAGTACCAACACCTGCGGCAGCTGGCTTTGTGCCAACTGTGCATGGCAAACATCTTTTTCCACTGCTGGTTCACTTTTAGAAGGTAGCCGTAACTAAGTACCAAAATATTGCATAACTTTTGTCTCAAACTTGTATGCTTTCTCTTTTGTGTAAATTAAGTTAGTTACAAATCTGACAAAATTCCTATTCCAACCAATGACTCAATACTGACCCTCTCGTTTCTGTCCATACAGAAGAGTCTCGTGTGATGTCTCTTCTGCACGACCACAAAGGTGATGCCCGGCTGGTAGTCCTTCTCCAGTTTGATGCAAGCCTCCCGGATCGCCAGCAGCTCATGCTGAAGGACCTGTGACTCAAGAGGTATTCAAGATTATCAGATGAAAAGCTGCATAGATGATGTTTCAATCTAACTAAATGTAAGGCAAGGCAAGTTTATTTATATAGCACCTTTCAACACAAGGCAATTCAAGGTGCTTTACAAAAATGAAAGACATTCAGACAAAGGCATTTAAAAACAGTCATTAAAAAGAAAAGATAATAAAAGAAACATTAAAAGAAAAAATACATGAATAAAAAGTACATGAATAAAAAGTTACAGTGCAGTTTAAGATATGAATAGTTCACACAGAAGTTCCACTTTACTGATGAACACAACGTCTCAGTTTCAATTAAAAGCAGCGACAAAAAGAAAAGTCTTTAGTCTGGATTTAAAAGTAGTCAGAGTTGCAGCGGACCTGCAGGTTTCTGGGAGTTTGTTCCAGATATTTGGAGCATAATAACTGAACGCTGCTTCTCCGTGTTTAGTTCTGACTCTGGGGACAGAAAGCTGACCAGTCCCTGAAGACCTGAGAGATCTGGGTGGTTCATAATTTAGCAGGTCAGAAATATATTTTGGGCCTAAACCATTCAGTGCTTTATAAACCAGCAGCAGTATTTTTGAAATCTATTCTTTGACACAGAGGAAGCCAGTGTAAAGACTTCAGAACTGGAGTGATGTGATCCACTTTCTTAGTGTTAGTGAGGACTCGAGCAGCAGCGTTCTGAATCAGCTGCAGCTTCCTAATAGATTTTTTAGTGAGACCTGTGAAGACACCATTGCAGTAGTCGAGTCTACTGAAGATAAAAGCATGGACAAGTTTTTCCAAATCCTGCTGTGACATTAGTCTTTTAATCCTAGATATATTCTTTAGGTGATAGTAGGCTGATTTAGTAACAGTTTTAATGTGACTGTTGAAACTCAGGTCAGAGTCCATGACTACACCTAGATTTCTGGCTTTATCTGTTGTTTTGAACATTGCAGACTGAAGCTCAGCGCTAACTTTTATACGTTCTGCCTTGACTCCAAAAACCATTACCTCAGTTTTATCTTTGTTTAATTGGAGAAAGTTCTGACACATCCAGTCATTGATTTGTTCAATGCACTTACTCAGTGTTTTAACTGGAGAAAAGTCTCCTGGTGAAAAGGTTATGTAAATTTGTGTTTCGATTGCGTACTCGATTTCCACTGACCAAAACACAGGAATTACCGTTACACTTAGCTCTGTGATTGGTCTATATCTTCTGATATTTCACAGTTTTCTGTGCATCAGCCCTGATATGTGTATCACCTGGTTGAACTGGCCTTCAGAGATGCCGTCGCGGTAGTAGATGATTCTGGTGGGCTTGAAGCGGGTGGACTTGTAGAATTGGATGAGCAGCTCCCTCACCATGGTGGCCAGGTCCTGGATGATGTCCTGACGGTGCTGCTGCACCCGCACTGTGGCACAGTATCTGCTGGGATGGGCATCCATACTACCAACCACCTGTATAGGGAATGTATTTTAGTATCACGTGAAAGGAGCAGTCCAGGCTCTGCCATAACATACATTTTCTGTCATTAAACAATGAGTTGAAAGAGCTCCAGAGATGGTTGGTGGTTATCTGTGATTTTGGAGCTTGCATTACACCCCAATAAACTATTTAATGAAAAGTAGATTGCAAGTTATTGAGTGTTACTTACAGCAGCGATGGAAGGCTTTTTCCCATCTCCTGCAGGAGGATGAGTCACATCTGCACCAAGGAAGATGACAGGCTGCTGGAAGACCAACGGCCTGGAGAAAGAACGCAGAGTTTAGACAACATCAAATGTATCTTTTCAAAATATTATGAGTGCCACGATCTGAAGGTATACACATTGATCATTTCTGTGTTTAATCATTAGTGTCTTCACTAACCTGCCCTGCGGGAGGAGGATGTTGTTGACTCCGCCCAGCTTGACGTTGATCTTCAGACAGAGGTTGGAGAGTGTCTGAGGCGTCGTCTTCTGAACATTCTTCACCTGCACACACTGCGTGGCCATGCCAAGAACTGTGTCCCCGACACGCTTCACCTCAGCTGCACACATTACAATAAATACATATCATTTAATTAAAGTCATCTTATAAACAGATGTTTTCTGTTCCTGCTCTGGTGCATCACATAAGGTGTGTGCATGTATACTGATCAATCACTGCTAATAACGGTGACTTTACATCAATCTGATTTAGATAAATACGTCTGATGAATCATGATCTAAAATAATCCTAATTAGCAGCCATAAGTGAGGACAAACCTAAATCTGTTAGAATCAATAAGACGTTCAGTTTGCAGGTTGCAGGAAGTTGTTTAAGAGCTAGTATTCTGATTATGGCTATTGCTGCCAGTCAGGATTTCACCTCATCTCTTATACAGTAATATAAATCATGCAGCACTAAAACAGACTGCATGAGCGGACCCCTCACCGTAGACAGGAGTCTTCCCCGGCAGGATGACCACCACCAGCTGGAGGCCCTGGTAGGTGTACTTGAGGTGTCTGAACATGGGCTCCACGCTGTCTGCTCCCTGGGCGTATTTACAGAAGCAAGGCTGGCCCTGGATGGGCATCCCTGCGTCCCTGGAGATCTTCCTCAGCTGATCTGTGAATGCTCTGAGAGAGAGAGGAGGGAAGTGTTTATTGACAGTTCGGTGAGGTTTAGGTAAATAAGTAGTTGCATTTCCTGAAAGTTGAGTAAAAACTGCCTCTGAGCTTCCTTGTGTATAGCTTGTTTTTTTATTTATTAAAGCACTACATATCTAAAAAGACCAAAGCCAGATACAATACGACAGGGATATGCAATTGGCAAATCCAGCCCCGCAGTGATATTTGCCCTTTGAGTATAATGTTAAAAAGTATCACATTTTAATTTAAATTTTATGGCCAGGGTGCCTTTATTCCAGAGAGGGTGTTTCATTGAGAGATAGAGGGGAAGACATTGCATGAAAACGTCTGCGGGCTCGGGTTTCGAACCCACCTACTAGCTACTGTAGTGACAACTCCTGTCATTTATTGCATCTCTGCGTGAATGATTAGATCATTTCACCTAAATTAAATCAAATGATGTTGACGGTTAAATTAGCTTCACATGTAGAACTACTGAGTTCTGAACTTGCCATTTAGATCTAGAAAGGCCTTGGGGCTATGTTGTTTGATTTCATTAAACACAATATATGCACTCCACTACGCTGTTGTAGTATTTACTGTATCTGAAGCTCTTAATATGCTCATATTTCAAGCCATCTTTTTCCCGGCCCCTTGCTTTGGGTCATTTTCATCAACCGGCACCCATTCCAAACTAATTGAATAGCCCTGCAATAGGACCTTTAGGTTGTGCACATTCTAACATCTGCATCAACACTGACATAACGCCTGAACTCACCCTGTATAAGTACACAAATTAAATTGGCAAAGGCATTGTAAAAGAATGGCACAGCTGTACATAATCATGCTCTGTTACGCCCCTGTAGAGCTGAAATACTTTTGTCCTCAGGGGGCCATAAAGCGAAAGACTCTAAACTGCGCTGTCATGCCAGTTGTGTAAGACCCAAATCAGAGAAGACAGCTGTGTGTCGTTTCTCTGCTCCGACTGCAACTACAGCTCATGGCTCAATGTATCCTCGTTTGTGCATTCCTATTATAAAAAGGTGCCTTACATTATGCATGAACTCTTATCAAGCCATGAAAGTCTCACTTACTTAAGCAGGAGTTCAGTGCACTGTCTCTGAGGGGCGAAGCAGGCGATGGCCCACACTTTGATCTCGATGCCGGTGTGGAACTGCTTGTTCCTCATGTCCCAGACTCCCTGGATCGGTGTGGCTATTGCTTTGTTCTGAACATTGGAATGACACTAGCCTTATTATTATAGTGCTAGTCACTGTACAGAAAAACATTCTAATTACACATATGACGTAACAAATCGAACAGGAGATCGACATACCCTGCCTCCGTACAGAATGGAAGGTGCTTGGAGGACACGGCCGTTCACTTCTGTCATCTCGTCCCTCACCATCACTCCAAACTCACGAACGTAAGGGTCGTTGTTGAAGTTGGCACTCCTCATCTGAAGAAAAACAACAACACGCCAGTTAAATAAAAAGATGACTGGCTTCAGTATTTCATAAAAGTTAAGCTAAGTTTGACACTACAGGTTCAAAGTGTCTCAAAGAAATGTCAATCGTTTTTCAAACACATTCACAAATATTGTTTATTCTCATTTCAAATAAGCCCAATTTTCTAAGCATAATACTCAATGGCAATGTTGCTATCAATCTAATGCAGAAGATATCTAATAGCCTATTTTTGAAAATAGTACAAGAAACAGGCCACGCAGAATCTTGAAAATATATCTTCTCTTTGGCTGCTACCAATTTAAATTATTTTCTCCTAAGTTTGGACTTATTATTGGAACATTGTGTACGTGACACTTAGAGGAAACTGCCTTCAATAAACATTTATTTGAAAACGACGTACCAATTTACTGATCTCGTCCTGGCGGTCTGGGGCCGATCGGGCTGTGGCACGAATCATAGTGGAGGTCTGATTGTCTGTCAGCTTTTTGATGCAGCGCTGTCCTGCCACTATGTTACACACCTGGAGAGGACACACAAAACATGACCGGATTTAAAAAGGGGAACATCCACAGCAAGCGGGTAAAGTTAGTAAGTTAAGGAGTTTAGTGGTGCTCACCTCTAGAGGTAGGTAGGTGTGCTTCTGCTCCTGTCCCACCTGAAGACACGGGAGGTGGGGGTATCTCAGGATGAGCTTGTACTTGTCTTTGAAGTACTGTGCTACTGTGCATTCAATAGTTTGGCCATTTTCCTGCTGCAGGGGGAACCTGTGGGAAGAACAACAGACAATTAGGTCAAACAAAGCGAATCACATGGGCATTAAAAAAAAAGCCAATAAAATCTTCTAGACTGATCAGTCGATTGCATTAATGGAGCCCAGTGAGCAAAGACCAGGGTAATGGCTAATTAAACACTCGGCATGTTTGAGATATATACAGTAGCACTGACAGAACTGTTACTATCATATATATTTTAATGATTTAATGTGTTTAACTGAACTGCTGAAACAATTTCATAACATTCATCTGCTACTTAGTAATTATGTATCTAATATATCATTCCAATAACTTGTATATAGACTCGTATTGCACTATTCCACTTTTATTTTCTCACTTTTTTTAAAACAATTTTTCTTTTTTGTATTACTTTTAATATAGTATACTTTAATATTTTCTGCTTATCTGTATTATTGTGTTGCATTGTTGGAGAAGCCTGTGACCTAAGATTTTCAGTGACATAATTACTCTGTAGCTATGTTAGTTTGACAATAAAGAACCTTGAACATTGAACAAAGATGAGACAGAAGAGCTCTCTAACGTTTGGTGGCTGGCTGGTCTTCTGGTCACGTTGCACACTCTGTACTTCCTCTTCATCTGCCCACAGTGAGTGATCTCCACCTTCAGGCCTGGAAATCACATTGAACCGAATTTAAAAAACAAAAACAAACTTAAAGATTGAGAAAGAAAAACTTTAAATAGCCACAACAACGTGAGCTTTGGAGATTTTCTCACCTTTGATTTCCTTTGTAAATTTCACTCGTTGGGAGTCTGTTAAGGGCTTCTGTTGTTCTTCAATGCTTTTGAAATCCAGGACCTCACACATGAACTCAATTACAGGCTGGGCTTTGTAGAATGCAGTGGCAGAAACTGAAAATAAAACAACAAGCACACAGAGGTGAGATTCATAGAAAGATCTTAACTTCATTCAACTTGTGCACAATGAAAAAGGAAAGTTACCGTCGATGTTGAGCATCATTTTCCAAAGGGACGGCCTGACAGACTGGTGGAAGCCGAACCACACCTCTCTGCCTCCACCGAGGGGGTTCGAACATCCCTCTGAGGGGGTGAAGAAAGAGCGGCCCACAGGGGTGTACCTGTAACAGAGGAGATGATAAGCCTGGTTAACATGTTCTGAGAAACAATTGATGAAAGAAAAGTGAAATAGGTCATTAAACAAGCATAAGACTCACTAGGTATTTTAAATGTATGACAAATATGTCAAAAACTTCTAGAGGGACAATCATCCACAAATGAAGCCATGTTGAATAATTAAAACTCACCTCATAGAGGGTAAATGTCTCATGACCACATCCAAGGCTTGGACGGTCTCGAAGGGGACGCTGGGTAGCCGCCCGGCCAGAGCCTCGTGCAGCGCCTGCAGGCTCACGCAGGAGACCCACTTGATGGAAACTTTGAAGCTGCGGTCTTTGCCTTCACCAGGAATGGTAACCTCAAGCTCCACCTGTGTGGTGAATGGGCAAGAAAATAAAGCAATTTTCCAAAAGTGTAGATGTTGTTGTTGCATGTTGTCCATAAAAATGTACATACTTTGTCTCTGCCTATGGGCAAAGGCATGGCGGTGTACAGATTCTTCCTCCCGTCGTACACCGGCTTACGATCACCAAAGATCTGCGTTTTAAAGTGCTGGACCATGTGCTCCACAATTTCCCTGAGGACAAAATAAAACAAATAAATAACGTTTTTTTTAAAAATGGTCTTCCATGTACCAGGAACAGCAGATGAAATATACACATACAAATAGACCTACCGGTTGACCCTCCTGGGGCATTTCTCAGGCTTAATGTCGATGTCATAATGGTAAACCTCCAGTTTGGGGATTTCCATCTCGAAGAAGTTGGCTTGGAGCTTGATGGTCCTGCCCATGGTGCCAAAGTCTGGCCGAGATGGTGGCTTGAACACATATTCTGGCACTGGGGAGGATGGCGGGTCTAAATCAGGGGGGTCAAAAGTGGGAAAGTGGCAATTGCAAAGTAAGTACCGCATTACACAGGCATCAGAAATTTACCAGTTAGTATGTTGTGATTCCATAAATAGATAGAGAATTACTAGAAAGTTAATGTCACAGTTTCTCAAATAGCTCATTATGGAAACCATTTTTTTCAAAACGTTTCAAAGCATCAGAAAAAGAAATTGTTCATTCTACATCAAAACAGAGATAATAATAATAATAATAATAATACATTTGACTTATATAGCACACTTTAAAGACAAACGTCATCTCAAGGTGCTTAAATAAAAAAATTAAAGATTACAAGTTTTCTTTAACTGGTTAACATATGCAAAAATTATCCAGGAAATGTCTTGAACTACAGTTATAGGTCATCAAATATGTGATGCGGCAAACTCAAAAGGTCCAATGTTTTCCCCCAAAAAATAAGGGAAATCTTTGTTCGGGATTTGATAGGCAGAAGTTATTCCATCTGAGTTGTGAATAAAAGAAATATGCTGTCATCCATGTGTGTGTATTACCCTGTAGAAGATACACTAAGCCTTCATCTTTGATAGACAGGCCAAACCAATAAGCTCCATATCTGCAACTTCAGATATTACAGTGAGACTGGCAGGGCTCCCCCTGAATGCCCCTCAGTGCCTTATCTTTGTGACCCAGTCCATCCAATCAAACAGAATAACACCCAAATAACCTAGTAACATACGGTGGCTATAATTTAAACCTTCAGTGTGTTAAAGTGCACTGCTACTCTGAGCACGGAAATGAGGTGCATTGAGAGGAAATTGAATATCTACAATGTCTACGCCTTCATCGACGCCAAATTTGGTGTCCAATTTCTTGAAAATGTCTTTGTATTCAGTCAGAAAGTCAAATTGTAATTCAAATAAATATACTGGGCTGCTTGAATGGTGTAAAAGGCATGATGTTTCCACTTAAACTGGACCAATTCTGGGACCTGTTTAAGGCTTGGAAGATGAAATATGGGAAAAAGCTTACCAGAGCCTGTTGACCCGGAGGAACGGGGTGGTGCCTCCTGCATCTCGGTGGCTACAGAGGACAAAATAAGGTGTCAGGAAGAGTTGTAGAAATATACATTTAGGTAATGCATGACAGAAATAGGTTTACTGTCAAATTAAATTGACCCATTTCTTTATGGAGCAAGTGACAAGAGGCAGCATTAACACTCATCTATACTTCCACTGCATACACTTGCTTCATTACAGCATGTCTAGCCCTCTTATCGCTTCCACAACACCATCGTCCATAATCAAGGGCGACTTTCTCTAAACTCTTATCAATATGCACACAGAAGGCATTAAGCAAGCTGGCAATCTAACTCTGCAGAAGCCTCCCTTTCTCCTGAAAATACCCTTATCCTACACGCATATTCATATTTTAGTAATATAAAGCAACCAAAGACTCCTAAAACAATATAAAATTGAAGAGAACATACATTTTAGTGATGCAATTGTTTTTGCTGCTTGATCCTCTGGATAACATGCAAATGGCATGAAAATGAAAATGCTATTATCTTTTATTTTAACATTATTAGTCTCATTGCCATGGGTGTCAACTGCTACAATGTTACTATAACTAGCCTCAGCCAAACTTCATATGTCTACTTTCTCGTCTACTCTTTATATAACCAATGTAATTGAGTCTATCTTGAGTCTTGAGTTTCTTAGACAGACCAATTTGTTGTTTTATATCGTGGTTAAAAACGATGCAACATGACTGGAATGACCAAATCGAAGTTGGATACTGTTATCCAACCATAGCTAAGATTGTTGATGAGATTAGATAGCATGGTCGGCCGTTAAATAATGCTTTACTTATGTGCTTTAGTGGAAAACTGCAAGATACAAAATAATAGCCATTTCCTATCAGTATATATGCTGTATTAAGTAGATATACGCTACACGATCACACTTCGTGATATAACATTGGGAAGCTAACTAACCACAAGTTAGGAAAACGAGGCACCGTTGAAGCTAACGTGGCTAACAGGAGCTTCTTGTTGTTGCACGCTAGCTAAGCTACTAATGCCTTCACTTAAGACTGGGCGACATATTCTTTTAAAAAGCATATGTTGCTTTTATTATAACTAATTAGCTTTAAGAAACAATATTATGTGTGCTATCAATGTAAACATAGCAGCTAAAGCGTCCAGTAGCGTGTTAATGCCGCTAGCTGCATCACTTAGCCGGTGCTAACGATAGCCGCACCACTTACCTCCAGTAGAGGAATACATTTTGTCGACTTTTTAAGCGTGTGTCGTGGACGTACAGATACTCCACTTTATTTAGGACAAATTCCACCCAAACTCATGCGGGATCGAAAAGTATATATATGTACAAGACCGAAGGAGGAAGCCCAGTTAAAAAAAAAAGATATTTAGTTAGCCGAGTGGTAAATATTTTGAGTCTCTCATCCTCGACACGGCCCCATCCCCCCAACACACACAAAACGGGAGCTGAGAGAAAAGATAGCACCGAGAACACACATGCAGCGCAAGAGGACTCCCTCCCTTCTACTTCCGGCTTTGGGTAATTTCCGTTAAGCAGCCAAAGCCTTTACACCATTTATTTTTTGTTGTATAGTTTTATACAACAAATTATGTATTTTACGACAAAGCCCAATAATATTGATTGTTGTAAAGCTATAATCTGTGACACCTGCTATAGCTTCAAATCTCTGTAAATGAAAGATATGATAAACCCAGTATGCACTGTTTTTTCCAGTGTAGATAAAATGACAAAACACATTCACGTATTACATTTTTAACCAGTGTTTATTTTTAGACGTTTTACACACGCGTGAAACGCTTTAATTTTGCAACAACGGTTAAATAAAATGTGAATAGGGGGGGAACTATCTTGTTAGCTGAAGTATACGAGGTTTCTCAATACTCACATTTCGACTCCTCGACTCCTCGGTCCTCTGGTAGTGACCCGGAAATGAATTTCAGCGCGCCATTTTGAAGGACATCTAATTTCTCTAAATGCACACAGAGGACCGAGCATCGAGCGTCGAGGAGGCTCTCTGGATGAGCTATAACCGAGGATACACTGATGGTTCCTCCACGGATGCATTTCCGGGAACGGTGGAGGCGTGACGCACGGCCGGACTTATCTCAGCCAATGACAGCTCTGCATGCATCCTCTGGATAGTAGGCTTGTTTGAGACAAGCGAGACCTGCGCAGTTACGATCAACGTCTTGCTAGTGCGTTGCATGATGGTTAGTCATAGGCTTGTTTGAGACGCGTTGCGGCTCGCCTCGAAAGTAGACGAGAATAGCCGATCGCAGCCGGGGGAGGTCTCAAAAAGCTCGCCTGAAGTCGGACAGCTCGGAGTCTTCTTCTTCTTCTTCTTCTTCTTCTTCTTCTTCTTCTTCTTCTTCTTCTTCTTCTTCTTCTTCTTCTTCTTCTTCTTCTTCTTCTTCTTCTTCTTCTCGGTTATTTGGCGGATTGCAAACCACTTTAAGGTGCATACCGTCTATGGAAGCAAACAAGAGACAGAAGTATTTGAATTGTATTAGACACCGAATTTATAACATTGAAAAATCATGTATCTAAATGTTTTTGCTCCGAATTTACCTATGTGAAATAAAAATGTAAAAATTCAAGTGAAAAAATTCGAATGTTCAAATTCAGATCCCAAAAATTCGACGTCAAAAAATTCGATGTATAAAATTCGATGTCCAAAATTGCGATGCAGCATCATCCGGGCTACGCAGACAGGATAAGCAATCGAGCCCTAATGCAACTCCGACTTCTGGCCTATCAGAGCACGGCTTTGTCAGTCATGTGATCACAACAACCCGAGACAAAATGACGGAGAACAGTGGGGCTCGCCGCTCGGGTAAGTAGTCAGTTTGTGCTCTTTATTTTACTAGCAGTGAGGGCTCGACAGCATTTGTATCTTACATTAGCTAGCTAAATGAGTGAAGTAGCCTTGTGCCTTGCTGTTAGCAAGCTCCGTTACCATTAATTGAAGTGAATCACAACGTGTGTGTGTGTGGGTTGGTTGGGGGTGACGGTTTGCAAAGTAACGTAACGATCACTTCGGTTAGATAAGTCAAGTAGACCATGCTACACTATACGAAATACTCTCTTACAAAAGCCCTGCATTTTAACATGTTAATGTTACTTTAGTAAAAGTATGCTAGTATAATTAGGAAAGTGTTGTTAAAGTAGATACAAGTTATACTATTATATTATATCATTTGATTTATTGTTATTACCGATGCACGAGTTGACTTAACTGTTGTAGTTGGAGCTCATTTTGAACAATGAGCTAACTAATTATTACTTTCATAATGGTGTAATGTGCCAACTATTTTCTACATTAATAGATGAAGGTCTGGTTTGTTTAAACTCTCAAAATAGTATGACCAGAGCCCTAGAGACTCTAGGGCTCTGAGTAGGACATGCTGTCATAATTAGTCCGAAGTGACACCTTTACAATGTTAAAGCTGTTAGATAAATGTAGTGACGTAAAAACTAAAGTATTCAAGATAGTGTAGTGAAAAAGAGATGTTTTTGTTTTTTTTAAACGTTACCAAAACAAAATCTCTTGTTTTGGACTGACAGTAATAATTCAAGAAATAGTAGATAAATAAATACAAACACATCAATTTGTTGTGGATGGAACACAACAAATGGTGCTCTTACCTGTGATGCCTCCTCCAAACATTATAACCAGACTGTATCATTCAAACTATAAGTAACAGTTCTAGCTACTTGACTTCAGACGAACAATTCAAAAGACAAAAACAACACAATTTATTGAAAGACCAATCTTTATTTCTCTCCTTTTGTTTGTGTTATTAAACCCTGTCAATCTAAAAAACTGAGCAACTCAACAGTTAACTTTATATTTCTTATTGTCCAAAGCATCTATTACACTATTTGTTCCCCTCTCATATTCACAGGATGGATGATTAGAGACTTTGGGGGAAACCTCAGCTTTATGAACGTCCTGTCTGTTGCTTTGGCCAGAGAGGGCTGAGGGTCTTTCCCTCCTCGCAGGGAAAGACCCTGCAGGCCTGAGGGAGGAGGACCAGACCTGATGGAGGAGGACCTGCACCAGCTGCACCTACAGAACTTAGCCCATGCTGGGCATAGCTGTTACCACCTGCACAGGCCTAGCCTGTCAATTAACAGATTAACATTTAGTGTAACTTATGTATATTATTTCGTTTTTATTTTAAAAAAATGGTGATGGTTCATGCTTGATAACTTTTAGTTCACATTTCAATAAATTGTATTTGCACTCCTTTTGTCCGTTATTCTTGCTGAAAATGTTAGATTACACATTCACATCTGAATGAAGATTGGCACCATTTATTTATGACGTTGCAAACTCTGCGGTACAAGGCACAAGTGATGTGAAGCTCAAAGTGAGGCAAATGCATTTGATCAGCTGACTTTTTTTTTTTGCCAAACTTTATAGGCCTGACAATAATCACATTGTCTCTGAGGTGCAACGTAAAACACAAAACAACACAAATGAAGTTCCTGTTAGACTACAAAACTAGTCAGTGTGCAGGTCTTTGTGTTACAATACAAGTGTCTCTTAGTGAATGTCCTGTACTGCTCTTAAATCTCATAACATCAGCTTCTCCTTTCCCTCTTGGATGTTCTTCTGGACCCTCGGAGAAAGAGAACATGGTGAAGCAGTCCTGTCTCTCAGGCATGTCCTTTCCTAACAGAAATATCAAAAAACATATTATTGCAGAGCAAGTGTGTTATTTAAGAAAGAGGTGTGTTTGTTTGTTCATAAATATAATGATTTTTTTATTTGAATGTGTTTTTTAAATCCAACAGTGTACTACAAAGATAATCAGATTATGAATAAACCGTTCTAAATTCATCAACATTGAAATAAATGTATTATTAAAATAATATTTAACTGTTATCAAAACTTAGTGCAACTGTAGAAGCTTGCTCTGTCCGGTTGTCTCACTGAAAGACAAAGGGTCGCAGCTCTCACTATGTTCAATAATATTTGCCTTAAATACATTGAAATATGAAAGTTGAACAAAAAAGTGATGTTGCTTGGTAAAATGTAAATGTAACCTTTTGCTAAGAAAGTCCACTCAACATCACTGATGTGTAGGAGATCTAGTATTCAGTCATGTTTAATGGCATGTCTATCAGTGTATTAGAGTCATTACTTTATGCATTCTTTGTAAAGCATGAAAAAGGTGTACCATGGAATCCGTGCTGAAGTTCTCTGCTGTTAGGACTCCAGATCTGTCTCTCCTCCTCTGGTCCAGGTCTGTCTCTCCTCCTCTGGTCCAGGTCTGTCTCTCCTCCTCTGGTCCAGCCTGTCTGGATCACCTTAAGGACACTTTGAACAAACAGATGTAAAGTTACATGCGTGGGTTACAGACTTCTTTACATGCAAACTACTTTTTATCTTCTTTTAAAAACAGGTCATAATCTTATTGTTATACTTAAGAAATGGCTGGATATCACAGTCCTTATACTGTATCAGTTTGATTGAGTAGTATTGTGTAGGTCCTTTTTATTTTACTGTTACTTTGGATGAGGTTTTCATGAGTCAGTCAAATTAATTTGTTTTCAAATGCCATATTCATATGCATCACACACGTAAGGGTAAGACACAAACCTATTGAACAAATGCAATGCAATGGATAAGCTTAATTTCCACTGAAGTCACAGATAACGTCATATATAATATTTAAACAAATCATTTCCTTGTCACTAAAGCATTGACTACGCTATTCATCGTCCTTAAATGCAGGAATTAAGTTACATGTTCCGTTGTACAGCCACGATGAGGCTGTTTCTCAAGTGTGATGATAATACAATTAAAAGAGGCATTGGTAATAATATTAAAAACAACAATGTTTGGGTTCTTTCGTCGGATAGGCGGTTAGCTGCAATAAATAACTCCAGTTCAACAAACCATATTACAATATCTAAGGGAGCGTTATTTCTGGACCATCTTGAAATGTGACGTTCATATTTTAAAGATACACACATTTCATTGTGAGGTTGATTTAATATACACTAAGCCTCTCTTCAACAATACGTTGAAGTTAGCTAGTCTATTTTATGCTATAGTAGAGCATAGCGAATTTAAATGAACCTTAACAATGCATACAGTAACCTAAATAGCAAACTAACTATCTAACGTACAAGGATGACCTTATTTTAGCAACCTCGCACAGAAGCCTTTTGGTATACAGTGGCATCCCACTTAATGTTTTACACTCTTGGATGCTACGCATAGCATCGTTAGCACAGATGGAGCTACGATTGCTCAAATGCTAACCCAACTCTAAACATTCATTAACGTTAGCTTAATAAAAACACCAGTAATATAACAAAGTACGCAGGGTTGACTTACCGAAGAAACTGCATTCATGGACGGTCTGTTTCAACCGCAGATAAATCCTATATTTGCAGGACGAATAGTCCACCAGGAACCAACACAACAAACACTGCCGAGTTCAAGT